CCCCATATGGGGATGCTCACGGCTGTCACTTGGAGTGGCTCTGTGACTCCCAGCGTGGACTTTTTCGGTTCTGAATAAAAAACAATAGAGGGATATGTATAGGAGATTGATCGAAACAGGGCTGATACTCAAAACTCTTGGGCAATTTAGTTAGATTTCCATTATTTAAAAATTGTATGCTCAAGAAAAATGTTTTCGACAAAATATGTTAATAATAGGCCGCTTATTTGACTTCCTTTGACCGAGTGCCTCGGCAACCCAGCAATGGTCGCAAAACCCACGCAGTCCTCATGGATCACCGGCACAAACAATGCATTTGCACAGTGCAAGTCCCAGTGAGCCCGCTGCTTCCAGGTGCACCGTAGTTTGACCAATTTTGCTGCAATCAAGAAGAAAACAAATGAAAAATATGAGGCAGTCGCATCCAACAGCCTTAGTTGATGCTCCATTTCCTGGAGATTCCTGGTTGTCTAACGCACGTTGCGTTACCGACGCAGTCCTCATGGACCATCGGCACAATCACTGCTTCCACACAGTGCTTGCTCCAATGAGCCCGCTGCTTTCAGGCACAGTCTTACTTGCGCACTTTGCTACAATGAGGGAGTAAACTAATTTAAGAGATTAGCAGCCGCATCCAGCAGTCTAAGTTTTCCTCGAACTGCAACTGCTCCATGGAGAAATGGAACACGTTCAAACAACACAGTCAGCATATCCGCTTGCAAATGGGGTAGAACCTTCACAATCACCCAGGTCAAATAAATGAGGCTCAGATTATTTGGCACAAAGTTACGAAAACGCATACATCTCGCATACGCCCTGCAGAAGGAACCCTTATGAAGTCCTGCAAGATCAATCTATCTCGGACTTTCTCCTGACAACCACGGAAAAAAATTGGCAGTGCACATTGGAACATATCAGCAGCAGGTGCTATAAGGTTCTCCATGATCCTCACCGGCAAATTCTCATGTGTATGCATCTCCACCGGTGATTACACTGACTCCAACGACGCCCAGCACACAGTCATAACGGAACCGCCACCGAGGTTACTGAGTAGCGCCAGGCCCACATCTGTAGACGCTTCTTTGTCAGGTGTCGTCGATTTTGGAGAAACGTTGTGCATATGTATGTGTCCTTCCACAAAGTTCTCCTTCAAATCCTAGGATTCACCAAAATTAAGGCGCCTTGATGAGTCCGCAGAACAGGGCAACCGCTGGTTAGAGAATCTCGGGCGAACACCCTCGCAAGTGCACCGCTGACTGAGGCATTGTTCTGGCACTGGAGACGAGGGAGGCCAGTTGAGGGACCAGAGTAAGGCAGCAGTTGGAGAAAGTAAAAGTAGAATTTGAGTGGGACTGCTGCCGAGCAGGCGTCGTGAGAGCTGTTTCACGGGATCCACGCTTGTCGAGGAGTCCATGATACAGGGATTACGCATGAGAAGATAATCCGCGGGAACATTCATTCGCAACGATGAGGCCAGTGGCTGAAAAGGTGTAGGAGAAGGACACAATAAGTGTTATTTCGAATTCGCAGACCACACATGGGTGTGGTCTCCTGGTTCCGGTTATCTTAATTCTGTCTTGACAATGTGTGCCTTTGGTAAGGGAGAATATATTGTGGTAGATGCTTTGCAAGTCTTATATCAACGTAAAATATTTCA